TGAGCCCCTCTGCAGCTGCAAACACCAATAAAGAAGAGAGGAGCTTCGTGCCTGGTGAGAGAGCCGCTTTTCTGCAGCTCGCTGCACATCCCAGACTTTATTTATTGTCATATATATTAATAAAGTTGCAAAAACGTTCTCCTGTTCTTTTGTGATTTCGTTCCCTTTCCCAGCAGGTGACGATGTGGCTGCTCGCGGTCGTGTGACTGAGCGTCTGTCCAGCTTCAAAGCGCGCTCGGCAGAGCCCTCCACCTCCAAAGAGAGCAGCGCCTCCCGCAGGGCAGAGCTGGAGAGTCTGGAAGGCTCAACGCAGGCGGCACGAGCCCGACTGGCTGAAGAACAGGTCAGAACATGAAGGACGTTATTCTGTCTGCAGATGCTTTTCTTCTTCTTCTCCGCAGGTTTTTAAAAGCAGTGTTTCTGTTTATCCTTCGTTCTTTAGTCACCTATCTGCATCTATCTTTAAAGTGAACCAGGTTTTAGTTGATGCACCGAGTTACTGTACAGGTACGAGCCAAAACATGATGGTCTGGATAAGTCGAGTTTCTTGGGTCTATGAGAACATTCAGGTGAGGAGCTGAACCTCTCCAACAGGAATCTAGAGATTCTCTGACATGTTGTGAGGAGCTCAGCAGAGTTCCTGTAATGAGTGCTGAGGTCATTTCTGAGACGCGACGTTCATGGCGAGCAGAACAAATCAGCTTTGTTTGCTTTTCATGAAATTTCTTCTACAAATCATGATATGCAACAATAACCGAGAGCATGCTGCTGCAGCTCCTGTTTTATTAAAGTGGTGCTGCTTTCTTGTTGTAGCCCCTCCCACACCTGCCTGCGTCAGCGGCTCCAGTTTGAGGCCCGCTGGCTTCACGTTGGTGCTAAAGAGCAGGTGGAGTTGCGGGGCCGCATCATGTTTTGGCTCACGTGTGCGTGAAACAGTTTGAAGGTTGAACGTAAAGCTGATAAATGTGTCTCCATCCACCATCAGAAGCGTTCCATCCGGCAGCAGAGCAGCATCGACGCCGAGGCGCACATCGGCAGTCTGGACACCACCCAGATGACCCCGCTAGGCCCCGGCAGCTCCACCGACGCCTGGGACCAGCTGCAACCGAGCGCCGCCGCCCTACGCATCAAGGACCTGGACTTTTCTGACCTGCTGGACGAGGAGGACATCGA